GCATTTTAATACAAAGGGAGAAATCCCAGAGCCATGATCTGTCAGGTTAGTTTGGTTTTTTTTAAAGGGGAAGGTAATGATAATAAATGATAAGATAGAGCATTTGTTGGGCAGTGCAGAGGCAGCCTCACTGAACTGATTTTTTTGGAGCGTATCAACCTGGTTGCATCCCGTGAACTGTTTCTGGTGATCACACCAACTTCACGTCAGGACAACACTTTGCCATTTTAGCTGACAAGTCTCAACCACTTTCTTTTAGCAGCACTGTGAATCACAGTCTTAATCTTTTTTTTTTTTTTTTTTGTGAGTAAAAAATGATTTTTACTAAAAACTCAGTTCTCGAAGAGAGGAAACCATTACTTGTGCACCAGTGAGGTACAGTAAGTGCAAGGTACAGCACACCTGAGGTTTGGCACTACAGAAGACATTAAGCCATGGATGCACCCTCAAATACTCTGCCAACCACCCAGACGTTTTTCTGAGGCACACATCTGGCAGGAGTACTGCTTTTGAGGTTATATTCGTGCTAAGTGCTCATACAGTAGCGTGCCAGAGGAGCGGAGCTGTGGTTTCATGGCAGTGGGGAGGTGAGGGGCTGGTGGGACAGGCTGGATCTTCAGTGGCAGGAGGCAGATCAGCGAGGCCCAGCAGCGTCGGTTGTGCACAGGTACCAGGTCTGTCCCACGAATAAAGCAGGTCATTTCAACCTTCCTGCGCCAAGCATACCTCCCCTGGCTCCTCTCCAGCTCACATTTCTGCATCAGCGAGACCTGGTCTCCCTCAGGAATCTCTGCTGGGATTGCACATAGCTAATCGTGGTGTTTATGGTTTCTGCTTCAAGCTATTTACCCAAAAGGTGATCCACCATGGGTTTTATTCACGTCCATCCCCTCTCTCAGAACTCAAAGCCGGGGCTCAGGCCTGAAGCGCTTTAGAGAGAAGCAGCGGGTGCCACCCTGGCAGGGTCTGCCGCCGGCAGCCCTGGGCGGGGCCCCTGTCGACAGGGGGGGCCCGGGGGGCGGC